CCAGTGCCATGCCAAGGATTATAGAAGTTTAAGGCGAGTTAAAAAAGTGAGGCTTTTTTTAATGGTAGTTATAAATCATATTTTTTCTAAAAATATTTAAATAAAATCTAAAACCAACAAAAAATACTAAAACGTTAACAAGAAAAAAAAAATCTATGCTAATTTTGTTCTTTTCCTATGATTTTTTTGACTAAACTCTCATAAACGATTTATTGAACTAATTTTTTTTTTATAGATATGATTAATATTTGAAAATTGGGGGCCCCAAAATTTATATATTATTTGGGGATCCGAAGCGAATGCCTTTTTTTTAACACTATAGGCACGGCCTTGACTATCTCATATCCCACGCACCCTCAACTCTAAAGCCGATAGACTTGCGAATGGTGCCCGAGTAGCTAGATCTGATATTTTTTTATGTAAACTCATCACCACCGCCTTGGATAATCGAGCCGTGGTAAATTAGTTTATTACCTGTTGAAAAAAAAAATTTGTACTAGCTTTTTTTTAATGGTAGTTATAAACCATATTTTTTCTAAAAACGTTTAAACAAAATCTAAAACCAACAAAAAATACTAAAACGTTAACAAGAAAAAAATCTATGATAATTTTGTTCTTTTCCTATGATTTTTTTGACTAAACTCTCTTAAACGATTTATTGAACTAATTTTCTTTTTATAGATATGGTTAATATTTGAAAATTGGGGACCCCAAAATTTATATATTATTTGGGGATTCGAAGCGAATGCCTTTTTTTAACACTATAGGCACGGGTTTGACTATCTCATATCCCACGCACCCTCAACTCTAAAGCCGATAGGCTTGCGAATGGTGCCCGAGTAGCTAGATCTGATATTTTTTATGTAAACTCATCACCACCGCCTTGGATAATCGAGCCGTGATAAATTAGTTTATTACCTGTTGAAAAAAAAAATTTGTACTAACTTTCCCAAGTAACAACCTAAGTAATTTAAATGGAAACTGGAATGAGTAACCTATTTATTCTTTAATTTATATTGAAAAGGGAATTTATTAGTTAAGGAAATAATTTTGTTGAGACATAACCTTGCTCTATTTTTTTTTTAGTATTTGTGCTTTTATTAAAAAATAGTCAAATTAACTAGTTTGAGTATTAAATTAGGTAACAAAAGAAGATAATTTTTGAGAAATGCTACTTTTTAAAAATACTATTTTTTCAAAATATTTGTAAAAATGCCACTTTTTCAAAATTATTTATTCATTATATCATTTATGTCAGGGTTAACTATGTTGTATTAGTGTTTAGTTTTGAAAGTTTATGGTTTGTTTGGAGTCAAAATATTTTTTAGGGTTTAGAATTTTAAGACTTAGGATTTAAAATGTTTTAATCTCTATACTATTAAAAGAGAAGTCATTTAGAGTAAATGTCCAAAATTGATTTCAATATTACTCAAATTGCCATTGGTTTTAAACTAATGAAATTCAATTGAAATGGGTAATTTTGGAATTTTTCAGTGGCAATTTCAGTAATTATCTGTTGAATTTTGGACATTTTTTTAGTCTCCACTGTTCTATAATATAAAATATATGTCGTAATATATGTCATTAGTTTGCCGGAGGCGGAGGCTGAGATGGACGGTGATGCCGAAATCTCCTTGCTGGGAATTTGACAGAGTCTAAGGCTGAGGCTGAGGTTGCACCAGAAATACAAGCCGCATGGGAGATCCTCAAATTGTCAGGATTTGTTCCCCTATATGTTCTCCGGGAATGATGTTTGGAATGAGAGAAGTATTATTTCTGTTTGGTGTTTATGATTTAAGGTTACGATATGGAATGGGATAATTTGGACTTCTACTTCGATACCCTCAAAATGGAAGATATATCATGTCTCGATATGTAAAACTTAGCAATAAAGAATTAATCGAGTTGCCCAAAGATAGCCATCAAAGAAGAAAACGAAGAATATGTGAGAGCTTGATCATCTTCTTCCAAACTATTTCTTTTCTGCTTTGCTTTATAATGGTTATTTCCTCTTTTCTCAAATTCTATACTTTT